TACAAACGCCAGTAAGAACAACAGGTCTCGCACGATTAGGACTTTGTCGGTATTTCGTCTGCGCGTGACGCCCTTGTTATATTCTTTCCTGCTCTTTGGCTTCCCCATTTACTTATTCCTTAGCCTGCTGATGGGTTCATTCTTCTCACCAGTGTCTGCTACGATTCTTTATTATTATGTGTGTAAATATAAAAGATGCGGACACGCCGTGTAGTCCCTGTTGAGAAGAACTCGGAAACGTCAGTCATTAGCCATTGGCTAGCAAGTATGTTAATTGGCTGGAGAAGCAAACGGCCACAATAGTTTTGATGAGGAATAAAAGCCTAGGCAAGCAATCATCCAATTGGTCCGACCAAACAATACTCAGCTTATCTAACTAACAAGAAGTTATACATGATGCTCGTGTTGGCCTACCACGTCATGCAGTAGCAGCTGATTATTTGGGCGTGCAGCTTGACTTTGAACAGCTCGGACAATACCCAGCTTCTTGATTTCGATTGCTCACTGATTGCGTCGCGAGTTATTTTCGCTTTACATAGGCCAGCGCTTTGCGCAATGGATAAATTTCCCTCCAACTATTTTGTACAACGGTATCTTCGATAACATACTTATATATTTGCATATATTACTGACGAACACCACTAATAGTTATGGTTCTAAACTCTTGCGAGTTCTCGCACTGAAGGATTCAGTCTTGTTCGTTTTGTTTCTTGGCTTAATATTTCTTTCCATGTCTTTTTCTGAGTTTTGCGAAGGACGCCGGCGATCGAACAAACTCTTGCAAAATCGAACTTCTAGTAATGTCAGTTGTCTAGCTAGCCGAACAGCATCACATTTTCTAATTAATAACTTCTGAAGTCTATATGTTACAGAAACAGCACAGTGGCGTCATACAGATACGAATTCATGTGGGCGTATATACAGACACGAACGCAACAGCAGCGCCTTCATACTCATGATAGTGATTCTAATGATGATCACGACGAGAATCGGCCAATAGGTAATATACCCTTTCCGTGTATACGTTTGCTGTTATTGGCAGGTCCGCTTGGAATTGCCCAAGGGCCATTGGATAGTTAGACAGCTTCAACTATTTCAGCTACTGTTTTTACACTAACATTACAACTAGCGTTGTCCATTTAGTAGGCGGTGGAAGTTGACAACGCTGTCGATGCTGTGAGAAACAATTGTCATAGCCAGTAGGTACACACTGACACAACGTATTGGAACCATCTAATAATATATATATATATAATGTGTATTATAGTATAGCACTCGATAGTATTCGATTGTACCCTTACGGAAATTTCTATCTCTTCCTTCCTGTTGCAGCGATTGCGCACATATAATAAATTCAATTATACACCTTCCTCCACAGTATTTAATCTCAACTAAGGTAGCCATATAAAGCATTCCCTTTTTGTTTTCACCGTTAGGAATACGATGCACTACATAGGACTTGTTAGCATGGGCCTATCAATGGATCAATAACAACATGAATCTACGGGAGGACTCTCTCCAATCGCATCTTACCAATGTACTCCTTTTTTTTGTATATTTATGTTTAAGTAGTATACTATTTATAATATATATAATTGTATGATATACCTGAATATTTATTGATGATCGAGTTACCCTTTTTTCACCAAACTCTTGGTTTTCCTGTCCGTATTCACATCTATATCTAGTTAGTGTTTCCCAAAGTGGGACATACCAACCATACACTAAATATCCACATAGGAGGCCCTTGCCTTGCCCACCTCTCGGCCTCTGCGTCTTCAGTACCGACACCTTCCAAATGCTTCGTTTCCTTGACGTCGTGCGGTGACGTTAAGATAGAGGCAACTCATAGCGTCCTATTTTGCCTGCAGCCAGCCAACGCTAGTGACGCTTGTCTCCCTTTTTCTCGTTGACCCCTGTACAGTCTATATTGGTCTCAAACTCTGATCGCCATCGAAATTTCCCCACCCACTGTGAACTTGACAGATCAGTCTCCCGCCCCGACGTCATAACCAGTCTTCGTCGTCGAACATCTTTCCGCCCCCAATCACATCGGATCGTCATCCTCAGCTACGATTTTTTTTCAGATTTCTCACAGGACATCGCCCTTCAGCACGTTGTCGGTGGCGATCGACATCACCATGACCAAGCACAGGGCGTTAGCAGGAATTCGTCATTGTTCGTTCGAGCGTCGCTCACACTCAATAACGGTGTATGTAGAGCACGCGATAAGAGATCAGAGAGGTGGGGTGGAAAAATCACAAAATAGGCTCGACTTTGCTTGAACAGACCGTACTACTCCCATCACTTTCATTCTATTTTTGTTGTTCTCCTTTCTACCCGCAAAAGTCTGCCGCCGAACGGCGAGTAGTCGTCGGATGAATAGCAACTGAGTAGATCCGATTTTTAAGGAGCGACCATACAAGGTAAATCCCTCCTTGTCAAAACGACTCCCTACGGCAATTCACAGATTAGGGGAACGTCACCTACCAGTCACTCGAGACTTTGACGTGTACGCAGTGTAAAAAGAGTAAGTACAGCTGAGGAATTCTCGTAGAGGCCATTGTAAAGCTTCGCGATGCAACCAAGCGTATATAATCAATGCTATTGAATATGTAAGCAATACGATTAATTTATGATGCTGTAATTAATGCCATATTAAACAAATCTTGTATCGCAATAGGTATATAGAAAGCCTCCTGTGAATTCATGCATTTTCCGGTAGCAAATTTTCGTTCTCTAGTGCTCTTTAACTACTGATTAAACAAGCGCCTATTCAATCTTGAGCATTTTCTTCAGCAGCTGAGAAGCTTTTTCTTACCAGTGATTAACATCTAACTGTTTCTAAGTAATCGCAGCCGTCAATTCTCATAGTCGAATAGACTAAATTAGTCTGCTCGAGGCGTAGCATCGTATAGTAGTGTATAACGATAAATAATTCTGGGAGGTGTACTACCATAATCGACCTACTTTATTCACCTATAATGTATAAATATAAAGTTGGTTGGCCGTGTTATCTAGCGCCGTAATAGTTGACAGGCTTCACGTTTGTCACCTATCTTTCATCTAAAGTACGTCTGATCGGATTGTGGAATGTCCTCATCCGCCATCAACTGAGCCACTAAGTGTAATTAACTAATATTCCAACAAAATGTTAGTCAAGATACGTAATCTCGCGCTGATATTCCCTAAAGCATTTGCAACCACTAATCTTACAAAACAGAAAACTTAGATAAATTATTATCTCATAAACTAGGCATTTGTCGCTCAACCGATGCCGCGGGACGGACCCTTGTATAGAAAAAAGTCATCGATCTGAAACGTTTTCGTTGACGGTATTTCTGAACCAGTACAGGAGAATGAATAAATATCATTTAGCCACGTGGGACGGAAATCGTCTATTTTCTGCAGGGCAACAAAGTGTAATATATATATATATATATATATATATATATATATATATATATATATATATATATATATAGACCAAATAAGCTCTCTTAATTTTAGTCCGACACTTCCATTAAGCGATACTTCAAATAGCTGACCCTAACACGAAATGTTTCGATACCCGATTTTGTGCCTAAACAACTCAAATATTCAGTTCAGTAGGCACACACTTCACTACTATTATAGGTACACAAATACTAATGACCAAATTTGACTATTAGCACAGCCGTATTAGATGCGCGATTCTTGTCCGTCTCAAACGTTTTTGTGTCAGTTTCAATAAGGATGACCTCGTTTACCACACTTAATGAAAACATTCGTAAAAACACTTATACCCTTGCATTAAACGATTTTCCTTTTACTAAAGAAAGTACAGGTTCAGTAGACGTGTATCATGATTTTAAACTAGAAAACGTATGTACGTGTTGCGTAGAAACCTAACTAAGCTTTCTGCTTTATGCCCCTATGACAGTCTCGCTATGTTCGTATCAAAAAACGACCGACAGTAACCCGTAGCCCAACAATCAGCTTTACACGTATAGATTTAGCTTAAAAGAGAAGCGTGTCATTTTTTTTATCTGGTATTGCGGTATTTATTTAATACCCAACCATATTTATATGGGTAGATGTTCAAGCAGGTCCAAGCGTCTCCTTGGTGGTACAGGGCCCGAAAACCGTATCACACATGTTCTCACCGCAAGTCTCTGTGTACACATATGCTGTCCCAAATAGTGCCCGCTTCGGGGAAGAACGGGTTCCTTTTTCCTTGTTCATACCTTCTAGCTGTTCTGGATATACCAAGTAAACGAGCAGGACTAGAAAGATGGGTATAGAGAGATAATTAAATTCGGGATGAGGTGAAACCGCCATGGATCCGAATGAGAGACAGCACTCGAAAGGGCTCCGTGGGCCAGTTCTTACTGAAGGAAACTGGACCGACGGGATTTGTATGTACACCAGTACTACCCACGGGCTTGATTGCACTTATTGAAAGGTGCCTACTTGCGGAGTGTTTCAACTGCTAGCCAGAAAATTTCGCTATTACCTAGACTCCACAAAGTTACTTTGAATTAGTCAGTTAATTATTGCGTGCAGCATGTACGTTTCAACTGGTCTAGATAATTTGCTCTACCTTGTAATAAAAGAAGATTGAAAAAGAACAAAGAGCAAATAGACGTGATAGCGTGACACTATCGGCCGTCTTTTGTGTGTGCATGGATAGTGGCCGAACTAGTTGCTGTCGCGAGCTCGCAGGCCTATTGGAGTATAATAATATGATAATGATAGAGAATAATAGGAGTTAATAACTGCCAAAATACAAGTGAACTAAAACACATACTAATACCTATAGAGGCATAATATATATTCTGCATATGTTCATATGGTAGCGCTTATAGCCTGAAAAATGGCCCATTCAAATGGAGTATGCATCAATCATTCCTATTTTTTAACCGTCATAAGCTGTTACTGATGTCATAACCTATCAACACCTCCAAGGAAGACACGAGTAATATAGAGTATATTAATAATATTGTATTTAGTTACTTTTTTGGCCTGTGCATAATTTCAATTTATTGTTACATATACACACATACTTTACGTTTAGAAAATCTACCTCAACTCTGAAGCTATTGTTATTTTTTTTTTCTATATTACATTAAGTCAAAAACAGCGGAAGTTGGTTGGCACAATCGTTTGTTATGCAGTATGTATAGACTGGCGATAGCGCTTACACTACAAACACGCATCGTCGGGAAGTGCACTTCTGCCTCTAGCAAAACATTCATAGCTTCTGACAGTTTACCTTACTAATTCAGCTGTACCCACACTTTAAAAATCGAAAGGCATTTTTCAACCAACTGAGAAAATTGCCGGCAGCATATTTTTCAGTGATGAGCTTTCGCGTCCTGGGAAGACTGCAGTCAAAAAATGGTCCCACAACGTTCGAGCCAATGTGCGTACAATAATACCCTGCTTCTGCTACAGTTCTGTATAACTTTAACTATAGCACAGCGATATTGACCCAGGAAATATCAGCAAGTGTAACAATTATTTACATAAAGTCGTTGACGAAATTAGACTTGCTTCCTAATCTGAAGGAGGTAACAAACAATCAACAGCTTTTATTAGATACTGTTGCGTCACTAGCATCTTTACTACGAAACATTTACACTATACAATAAAGAAATGTTCTATACAAAGTGATTATATCTACAAATGTAGAATTTTTCATGTTACCGGCTTCCTCGAAAGTTATGTAAATTTTAGCAATTTTGATCCGCGCCGTGCGTAACATGGGTGAAATTTATACTTGTCATCGAAAAAAGTTTGCAAGATTTTGATAGAGAAAGATCTCTGTTTTTCTTTCTCTAGATTTTAGGTTCCCACCTGACGAAACGGCTGTTCTTCTACATATTCTATGGAGAACTCGGATTGATTTATCCCAACAAGCGATGTAACGTTACGATCAACTTCATGAAATAAAATAGTGATCAATCAAATATCTTATTATGCTTATCAATATTTGGGGAACATACATCATTACCACGATATTTCTCGTGTGTTCCGCTACTTTCATTTTCCAAATGACTGAAGTACTGAACATTAGAACAAGACCATTTGCCTAGGCCTTAGGTACCTGATTGTCGAAAATGGTTGGTTCTTTTGTTTATATCCTACTGTCAACGTACTAATCAGCTGGTCGACGGGAGATAGTTGGGATCAAGGTAGTGGTCATTGATCACGTAGTCGCTGTCAACCTGCGTGTCCGCAACCATTTGTACAACATGGCCCGCGATCACACACGACGACTTTTGTCGACACGTTCCATCTACGCACAAATTCACATTGCATTCCACGCATTGAAACCGCAGGCTGCTGTCCAACTTTTTCAGGCACACACCGCAATGGATTTCGGCCTGAGAGGATTTGTTGTCTTTCGACTGGTTATGATTCGAGAGTACTACAGGGCTTTCCTGCAAGGGCGTGTCTGGGTCCATTGTGATGGGACTAGCGTGTTGTGGGAAAAACGTTGACAGGTAGAAAGCTTGCGTTTTTAAAGTAGATTGAACGCGTCGAACCTTGCGTGACGATTTCGGTATGTTCGGAACTCGTCCTGGCACCTCAAGTCCTGCCTTGGCCAGTTTAATAAAGTACTTTTGCACCCTGCTGGCCACCTGTTTAATCGTACGATTACCAAGTGCAGCAGCAATCTTACGCCATCGTTGCGCCTCGACAGCTTCTGGTGGAAACTTGATGAGGAGTTCTTCAAGTCTCTTTTGTTCCTCTATACTCCATGGTTTATTGTAGGTTTCTGGACGATTCTTCAGCGAGTGTTGTTGAAGCTGTCGTGCACTTGGAGATGGCTCCTTTTCAGAATATGTAGAAGACAGTTCGTGCAACAATGACGAAGAAGATGGTCCCTGTGCTGAAGACGTCGAGGCTGTCGCATTCTGATCAGGAGCACCAGCGGCAGCCCTCGTCGACTTCGGCGTAGCACCTAAATAGACTGGCGGTATAGCGTACCTTGCGCAATCGACCTCCGGTACTTCTGCAACTATTTGTCGTGTCGGCAACGAGATCGTTCGTTCTTGAAGCCTTTGAACAAACCCCATTGGATTTTCCAGAGCAACTTTCTTTTCGGCTTCTAGTTGGTTAATATCCTGAATGGCGCGCATGCGCTGAGCTTCGAGTAATACCAACAATTTAACGATACTTTTATATTCGTTGTTAGCGCGAAGAGCGAGATGGTCAGTCTCGAACGAGAACGTCTGTCGTTCTACCTCTAAAACAGATGTTGAAGTAGGCTGTGAGTTTAAAGACGTCTCGTTAGAGCCGACTTCACTAGACGTGTTTGAATCCAAAATTGGCTTTCTATCTTCCGGCCCACGGTAGCTGCCAACAAATTCCGTTCTACGCGTATCAATTTTTTCGAGTACATTATTCTCACTTAAGGGGACGTCTAGAAGGGCGTCGTCACGGCTAGTGACCACGGTTTCACAAATAAGAGAATCTTCGACGAACAAGGTCATGTCATCTCGTTGAGGACTGGCACACTCCTGTTTGATGGCGAGTCTGTCTTCATTAGCGGATGCGATCGAATAAGAGACATCTTCTTCCATCTGTAATGCCCAACACCTCGGACCACCTGCAAGATAAAGTAAAAAAAGTACGAAGTAAAAAAGAACCAACTTAGCGATATTGTTCGGCTATTCACAGCCATGCAAATGATAAAATACTAATCGTGAACCCATCAAGACAAGGCAATATAACTCTCAGTAAAGTACATTTATGCGATCGTAAAGATTAAGATCGTAAGATAAAATGAACACCGCTTAAAATCCGCTGAATCTCTGGTACACAGCTCAGACTATCGTAATAGATATCAGTAGAGAATTATGTACGACGAAACGGCCAGTCTATTTCGGCAAAGTTGAAGTGGTAAAAAATTTGCTAAATCTAGCCATAACTAAAAAATAAAGTCAAAAGACATGGTCATAATGTATTAATAATTAATTGACTTGAAAATCAGAGTCAGTATCATAGACCAGTTGTGACATTCATATATGTATAGTCACATACATGGTGAACGACGCTTTAATAGTTAATCACTTACCACTAACTGAGTCACAATTTACTCTATGAAGCGGAGCCTACTATCGCCTGCGAGGACAAATAACAACGGACAACTAAGAAGCAATAACAATCATTGTCTGGGCTAATATGACACAACGACAGTACACGATAAGAAATGAGTCTACGGGATGACGTGAAAATTAACCACGTACTGGTATCACTCACTCTTCACGTCGGGCTAGGGGCAGCAAAAAGCTTTGCTGACTAAATTTGTACTATATACACTATCCTTACTATGCTTTGTTGTTGATTCAAGCATTCGACGGTTACAGCCACCAGAAGCTCATATTGATATAGAAAATAGTAGTTACGCCTGGTTCAATTGGATAACGCTTTAGAAAATGGACATTTACCGATAGAGGAAAGCGTACATTCGCCGCAAGTGCAAACAGAAGAAGCACACTGTAAACAAATAAACAAGCGCATATCAAAAACGTTTCGCCAATTCACTTGCTGACTTCGCCGGTGTGAGAGCAGCTGAACTATGTAGCATAGCAATACGACGAGAACGTCGGCTGCACGCACCTGTAAGAGTCATCGAATTCACATTTGAGGCTGTAGAGCAGACTTACTTGAACCGCTATTTCATCATATGATCATCTCAAAAGTGGCCAATCTGCCGACTAATAATTCAAGTAGAGTTTGTACTGCCATAACATCACATGTGTTGTTATGCTTAACATTATTCGAATTCGCTTTTATTTCAAACGCATCGAATGGGCAGTGTGGCGCCATCTTGGTTTTGACGTATTAATGTAATACTTAGACAGGTGTGCAAGCTTGCGGGCGTTTACTGCTAGCAGTCATAGAATAGGAGCGTTTTAAATAGAGGTCTATCATTCAAGAATCAGGAGAAAATATAATAGCTTTATTCAACCATTTCAATAAATATATATTATTACAGAATAGTTTGGATCGGACTATTCAGCGGCTTAAATAAAATTGTCAAATGCAGGTCCAATCTATATAAATTAGTGGATGTAGAAATTGATAAATCCAATCCTAGCAATTGAAGCTGTTTATACTAAACCCCTATGACCAAACCAGTCAATAATAGAATGAGTCTGAAAACTCGGTATATATTTTGCGTGTTTGAAAATGTAAGCTTATTTACAGAAATTATCTATTGTTATGTATTATTAATGTATAACACCAGAGATAGCTTTGCGAATGACATCCCATCTCTGTTGTTGAATAACATCTCAGTTATAAGTAGGCAATCAGTAAGTACTTGTTATAGTCTACCCTTAGTTATTTAGATATATAATAAATAACAATTAGAATATATAATATCTTAATTTTCTACATATATATATAAAGCTTGTATTTGTAATATAAATACAGGCTTACATTTATAACAGGGGCCTATACCGTGAAATCCTCTAGACTAAAAAATCTAGAAATTTGTTGTGTGGGTGGCATATTAGATTCGGTAGTGTTGTAAGATGAACCAGAAACGTATTAACCTATTATTTCAACTACGGCAAAAAGTAGTGTAAGCGGAAGTAAATATTTATATACAAATGAGATAGTGTTCATTTCTTACAAGAAAGGTGTTTCACATTGCTCTTGCTGCCCAGAACGCCTATTTGCATATAGTTCTTAATACATTTAGAAAAAGGAAAGCGTCGGTACCTTTCTGAAAGCATATACGAAACAAAAGTTCACAATGAAGTTTCTATGATTCACAGTTGCCTTTCTTGTCGCTGCTGCCTTCTTCTCGCCGGAAATGTGGTATATCAATCAGACTTCAATTTTCAGTGATTACCGATGTCAAATCTACGGGAGGGCGCGGGAACACACGAGGCCAACACAGAATCGTGCTGCTGCTGACGGTCTTGCTCATGCGTAGGGGCACAAACGACCTCGCAATGTCGGCGTAACGCATATATGACGCCCAGCTGGCTTTCCGTTGACCGCCAGCTGCCCACCCCGCTTAATATGACCATTACCGCGGTTGACAATAGACAGACTTCGAAAATACCGATGAAATCAAGCAAATCATCACCTTCGAGCACCAAGTATATTTTACTATGCCTATGAGATTTAAATAATACTACTAGACTCGTCCAAGGTTGAGTGACGGCGGTGACTAAGTTGAAATGGATTTTTGCCACCATCGCTGTCTGCTGCCGAACCAAAACACTCGATTTGCGATTACCGTGACTTTTCGACGCACCACCGTGAACGATGGGGCGGCCTCCTGGAATTGGGCTAGGCAAACGAGAAAAAAGCGTCAAGGAATGGCACAAATTCGAACTAGTGATGATAACATAATAGGTTGCGATTGATATCTGCATTTCTTTCAGAGTACAAAAATGGGGCGTAGGTGTTCAGATGACACGGTGACTGATGTAGCTTTTGACTTTTTGGACAAATAAGTAGACATGCAGACACAAAAGAATAACAACGAAGACTGACGTAGAAAAATATACTAACTCCTCCCGGAGACCGATTTTCTGATAAATACAACAAAATTACGTACTCGGCTGGTTTTCGCCTCTCACAACCGCTCCGTTTCCCATGTGAATGAATAAAGTATACCGTTAAAATGTGATTACCTTTACTAAATATTAGTTAAACCAATATCATATACTATATGCTCTATAGATATACCAAATTCGGTTACAACCAAAGGAAAGACTATCCGTTGTTTAAAGTCAGAGCGGTACGAACGTCACTGCCACTGTAAATGGGAAACATCCAATTCAATTATTTCGTACCTACCGTGACGCATAGGACATGTTGCTCTATTTGAAAAGAATCAAGTCAGGCTATTCGTTTCTATATCTATGTGTACACAATTTCATAGGCAGACAATAATAAGGGATCGAGTGATAAAACACACAAATGAGATTTTTAGATTGTCATTAATTTGGTGACGCATCTGACACATTTAACATTATGGCCGAACCTGCACTCGGGTCGAGTGTTTGCGTATCGGCATTTAGATATGTTCAATGAATTTCAGGTGGCAAAATCAACCAGTGCGCTACTAAACAGGTTAGTAACCAATAATAAATATTGCCTCTATATTTAGCCAGCACTCCAAACAATTGAATTTGACGAATTGGCCCGCTTATTGCTTTGAGTCTAGACGCGAGGGTTTACGTTCATCGAGGCATTTTACCCTAACGAGCTGGGAAAGAAATGGAACAGCGAGCCTGGGAAATGTTCTCAGAATCCTGAATTTAGTCAGGATGACACAAGGCTGGCTCGGTGAGCATGGCGACGGAGTGTAGAAAGAGCGCAGCGGTTCAAAGGGGGCCTGGATATCACGGAGATCATCCTTCTCTTCCCATCTGGGCTCATTAGCGCTCATCAACATCGTTGTAAGCGACTGAAGTATACTCGGGGTTCAGCCACATGTGGCGTGAGAAAACAGCGTGTTCACAGTAGCAGCTTTCAGTAGTATGATTTATTTCAGTGAAAGCAAAAAAGAACCGCTCAGGTTCACATTAACAAGCAGGCTGTGCGGGACAATGATCTGATTTCTGATAACGGACATGCTAACTTTACGGGTATTCCCAAAATCAGAGCAGTTGTATTTGACTAGCATTTATAAGAAATATGTCGTTGGCTCCGGGAGATTGCTGCTCAAAGAAAGATGATCGGTTTTCAAATATCAAGGGGTTTCAAAAACAACCAACTTGTCACGTTTCGTGGACAATTTGAGCTGCTAGAACTTACACGCACTGCTTTGCCCCCAATCAGCAAATCGTTTCCATCTGAAGCAGAAGTTGAACAATAGGGAACATAGCTTTGGCTTATTTACGTAATACCTCACACGTCTTTCGCAGTCACTGTTCCCACAAGTAATAGCTGCTGCACTTAAGCCGCTTATGGAGATCGTCGAACATAATAGCCTTTTTTGCAACGAAACCTAACAGCACTTTCTCGACGAGTAGCGACTTTCTACTCGCATGGAGACTATGATGCCGAGCTACGGTCGTTGTTACAGCAAAGAAATGCTTTGGAGTCACGCGTACCATTAAGAGCATCCCCGCTGCTCATCAGATACAGCTTCCGCCAAGTGCCCCCCTTCCCGTTCTGTAGCACATATCTAACGGGCTCGTTTCCATAGTCGATTCGACAAAAACAAGTCAGTCGCTTAGTAGTGAAGTGGTACACGCTCTGAAAATTGCGAATATTCACGAAACGTTACCCTTCTCAAAGGGGAGTGAGAATAAAACGTTGTAACCCTACGAAATCGCAAGGTCAACAAAGCTCAGATTTGGGTAGATTATGGATAGTCATCCTATTAGAATCGAAGATGTTGATTGCTTTTCGAGCAAGCATCTGTTTTTCGTCACTTGACAACGACGACGACGACCTCAACGACAAATGTGAAGACCTGTTCTGAAGATTTAATTTGGCGCGAAGAAGAACACATCTGCGCGCCAAATTAAATGAGCGAGAAGGATTTAATTTGTGATCGATGTTGTCCGAGTGAACCGTCCGGCCTACGCCCGTTTGTGCTTCGAATGAAGCCACATAACTGCTGTCATGAAGCCCGTAGTTCGAATTGTCATTGTGACCGCTACGTAAGTTGCGAAAAATCTAATGGTAAAAGGCGACATATTTATCAACTGTTTAACAGAAAATTGTAAGCATTACCACGGTTCCATTGAAATCTTGTGCATTATTTTTTGTTCTATACAAGGCCACGATTCTTTGAGACTATATACTGTAATGTGTATACACGTTCATCACCCCACCAGCGTGGTGTATCCTTGTTTCGTTCATAAGTAGTTCGTTGCTGTTTCGATCTGTTTGTACCTATGCGTACACCATCATCGATTCGTTCTCTCCTCTATAATAGCGTTTAAGGCTTGTGCTTTCTACCTTCGTCTGGCGCTCTCGCACGCTGTCATTTTGCAAACTTATTCATAAATTCGAGTCGCTGCCTTGCGTTAAGAATGATTAATGATGATAGCGTCGTTTGTATGTCCTCTTTGCTACCCCCACCCCAATTCTTTCTCTATGACCATCTTTCTTTTCGTAGCTTTGCTGTCGCTTTTGCGAGCAGTCTCGCAGTTGTTCCTCGCATTCCTATTCATATCGTGAGTATATTTGAGGCAACCCAGACCCAGGCCGTGCATGGCGCTGCTGACTGACTGCCTGCTTCCTCGCCTTTTAGCCTGATCATGGTGAAGCCGGTGCTTAGACGATACAACACGACACTGGGTTATCCGATACAGGCGTTTACGCTATGTGCAATTTCTGTGCGTGTGTGCAATGCCATAATTGCACGAAGCGCCAGTTCAAAAACAGGCAACAATGACTGAATTACTCGCTTATGATGAATGCTTCTAGACGTACAAAAATATAGCTAACGGCGACCGGACACAATATCTATTGAGTAAGAATTAGGACCGACCTTAGGTTCAGAGACGGCGGCTGTGTATGATAGCGATAGTGCGGCGGAGACGTGTGGTGTACGTCATCGTGTATTTCAAAATTCCTCCTCAAAAAATCGTTCCTGCTGGCCAGTGTATTCCATTGGTGACAACGTGTTGTCATCATTGGTTTAATGGCAGCAGAGTGCCATTAAACAGATATCGAGTAAACGAAGAGTGATCTGATTGAGGGGGCTCGTGGTGGTTGTCGGGGTGAAATAAGAAACTCAACTGCTCTTAATTGCGTTTTTTACTGTTGCTTAACTATTCATTACTGCACTTAGTTTAATCCTGTAGTTATACAATACTATCACTG